TACATGCTTTGTACATGTTCTATGCGCACTTTGTATACGCTCGGTAAACGCTTTGTGCATGCAGTGCATGTCTGAATCTCTATGTATGTAGGTATATACATATGTATAAATGTAGATATATATACACATCTCATCCACTTTAGGTGTAGGTGCGGTATGGGTATTGTATATGTTTCTATATGTTTTGTAATTATTTCTATGTTGTTTTGTCTATGTCCTGTATGTATTCCGTTTATGTACTGTATACATATGGTATATGCTGTGTACCTGTTGCCTTATATATCAAGTGTGCTTCTACATTAACTGTTTTGTATTTGTTTTCTATGTATGTTGTCAACGTGTTGTATCGGTCTGCGATCTGTCTTCCACATGGTCACTATATGGTTGTACAATTTTTCTGTATGATATCTATATGTTTTCTACATGGGTCAATGGTTTGTGCATGCTTGATATATCGTTCTGTTTTGTACAAGTTTTGTTTGCAAAACGGTCTATGTTGTAGATTCTGGGCATGCGTGTTCTACGTCTTGTATGCGTGTTCTACGTCTTGTATTTATCTGTATGTTTTGAAAATGTATTGAATGTGTTCTGTCTATGTTTTGTTCGCGTGCTGTATCTGCTGTCCACATGTTTTATGTCTGTTTCCAATATGCTATGCGCATGTGTTCAGTCCGCTTCTGTATGTTTCCAATAGGTTTCTCTATGCTTGTTAGCAGAAGTTTACAAAATTCCTGCATGTGTTGTACGTGTTTTGTATCGATGTTCTATACGATTCCCCTGGTTACTATATTCTTTAAAATGTTACCGGTATGGTTTCTATATGGCACCTATAGTTTTCTTTTATGGTTTGTGAAAGGTTGCGTGGCTTTTTTTTGTAAGCGTTGGGTATATGTTCCGTGAATGTTTTCGACCATGGCCGTACACCTTTTGTATACGTTTTGCATGTGTTTTGTATATGCTTTGCATGTGTGTGTGGGTGCTTATATGTTGCATGCGTGGTCCAACGGTGTTCTACATGTTCCGTTTTTTTTTTTTTTTTTTTGTTGTTTTTTGTTTGTTTGTTTGTAAAGTTTGTGTGTACGCGTGTAGGCTATATCGCTATTTGCGTACATGTTATCTTTTATGTGCCTGGCATGTGTTTCGATTTTTTTGTTCCGACTTTGTGTTGTGTATATTTTGTGTGCGTGCTTTAAATTGCTTGCACATTTTTTGTATAGCTTTTTTTTGGCTGTTTGAATATGTTTGTACATGTTTGTGCATGTCTTGTATATGATGGTGCGTCTTTTGTATAGTGTTTGTGCATCTGCTGCATATGCCATGCATGTTCATTCTACGATTTGCATTTTTCGGTACAGGTGTTCTATACGTTTTGTACGTACACGTTTTCTATATATGCTGTGCATGTTTTGTATATGTTTGAACATGTTCTGTAAATGTTCTGTGCGTGTTTTGCACTTCTGTACGCATTTTGCATATGGTTTGTACATGCGTACACAAATATGCATAAATCTACACGTCTATATATATGCATGCATGTATGTATGTATGTATGTACGTATGTATGTACGTATGTATGTATGTATGTATACAGATGCATGTGCATATGTTGTATGTGTATGTATATCAGTTGTATTTGTTTTCTAAAGATTTTCTGTATTCTAAATAGATGTACAATGTCTGGAACATGTGAGGTATATGTGATGTATACCATGTGTCTATCTTTTGTACATCTTTTGTGTCTGGTTTGTGCACATTCTGTCTGTGTGTTGTACATGTATTGTATATACGATGTATCGGCTTTGTCTCTCTCTCTCTCTCTCTCTATATATATATATGTATATATAAACTTTTCTCGCTGGTATATGTACTATAGTTGTACATGTTTTTTTCTGCCTGTTTCCTACATGTTTTTTTTTTTTGGGATCGCGCGTGCGCCATATAGAACCTCCACCACCCTCCCTTCCTCCCTGACACCAAATAAACTGTTCAAACGGAGCCCTAGTAGTAGTAGTAGTAGTAGTAGTAGTAGTAGTAGTAGTAGTAGTAGTATTAGTAGTAGTAGTATCATTATTATTATTATTATTATTATTAATTATAATTATAATTATCATTATTATTATTATGAGTAGTAGTAGTAGTAGTAGTAGTAGTAGTAGTAGTAGTAGTAGTAGTAGTAGTAGTAGTAGTAGTAGTACCCAAGATGGCCTCCAAGTCCGCCCAAGAGAGGAGAACATGCCTCCAAGTCCGCCCGAGAAACCTCCAAAACGGCCCAAGGTGGCCCAAGAGGCCCCCCAGAGGCCTCTAAGACTGCCCAAGAGGCCTCCAAGAGGTCCTCCAGGAGGGCCCGAAGAGGCCAACATCATTGATTTTCATCAGGTTTTTGAAGGATTTTCGCATTCGCTTCTGCTCGGCTTTCCGACGACCCAAGGCGGCCCAAGAGGCCCCCAAAATCGCCCCCAGAGCGCCAAAGAGGCCTCCAAGTTGGCCTCAGGACTGCCCAAGAGGCCCCCAAGACGGCCCCAAGAGGGCACAAAGACGACCCAAGAGGCTTCCAGGACGCCTAAGATGGCCTCTAAGACGGCCCTGGAGCACCCCAAGAGGGCCCCAAATCGGCCTAGAGAGGCACCCAAAACGGCTTCCGACGGCGTCAGACGGGCCAGCAGCCCGCCAAGATGGCCGAAGTTGACTCGAAGCTGGCCAGAGACGGCCCAAGAGGCCTCCAAGAGGGCCTCCAGGAAGGCCCGAAAAGGAAAAACACTGATGTCCCTGCGGGTTTTTGAAGGATTGTGGCATTTGCTTTTTTCGGGCTTCCGACGGCCCGAGACTGCCCAAGAGCCCCCAAAGATCGCCCAAGAGGCCTCCAAGATGGCCCCAGACCGGCCCAAGAGGCCCACAAGACGGCCCCAAGAGGCCCCGAAGACGGCCCAGGAGGCCTTTAAGACGCCCAAGATGGCCTCCAAAACGGCCCTGGAGCATTTCAAGAGGGCCCCAAATCGGCCCAGAGAGGCCCCCCAAACGGCGTCCGACGGCGTCAGGCGAGCCAGGAGCCCACCAAAACGGCCGAAGACGGCCCTAAGATGGCCCAAGACGGCCCAAGAGACCTCCAAGAGGGTCTCCAGGAAGGCCCGAAAAGGCCCAAATTATTGTTTTCCAATGGTTTTTGAAGGATTGTGGCATTTGCTTTTTTCGGCCTTCCGACGGCTCGAGACGGCCCAAGTGTCCCCAAAGATCGCCCAAGATGCCCAAGACGGCCCTAAAGAGGCCCCCAAGACGGCCCAAGACGGCCCAAGAGGCCTGCAAGACGCCCAAGACTCCTCCTCCTCATCTCCTCCTCCTTCTTCCTTCTCCTCCTCCTCCTCCTGATCTTCCCCGCCATCTTCCCAGAAGTGTTTCCCGAAGGGTTTCCACAACGGTTGGGGGAACACATGGTCCGACAGCTTGGCAGAGCTCTTGCCACAACGCTCGGACTCATGAGCGCCTTCAAACCTCTTGCTCCCCTGCGCGCTCCCCGAAGACTCTCCGAACCGACTCGGGGAACAACTGGCCCGCTAGCTTGGCCAGGCCCTAGCCCAGCTGTCGGCCACACAGGCGCTGCCACAAAGGCAGGGGGCGGCGGTGATTCGCCGTAGGCGTCTTCGATACTAACACGTGAAGGGGCCCTGGGACACACAATTAAATACACACAGATAAAAGGATCCCCCATATTTTCCCATACAGGAACTTTGTCTTCCCCCCCACTTCCCATATTTTCCCATATTTTCCTGGGAGTCGACGATTCATTGTGTCTGTGTGTCTTCTTCCCTCCTGAATGCGGGTAATAAGAACAGAGCTCGCAAAGAGGCCCCCAGCCGAGGCCGCAGGGCGTGCCGCCGCCGCTCACTGACCTCGATTTCCCCCCCCCCAACGCCAGAGAGCTCGAAGTCTACGTCCATGGGGAGGGAAGAAGAGGAGGAGGAGGAGGAGGAGGAGGAGGAGGAGGAGGAGGAGGAGGAGGAGGAGGAGGAGGAGGAGGAGGAGGAGGAGGAGGAGGAGGAGGAGGAGGAGGAGGAGGAGGGTGGGCGCGCAGACGGGGGAAAACTCGGGGCCGCTGGGGCCCCCCCCCTGCGGGCCCCCCGCCGCTCAGGTGACGTGGATCTCCGGCGCTCAGGTGCCGGGGGAATCCAAAATCGAGGTCCTTGGGCGGCGGAATTCCTCCCGCGACCGGCTCTTCAGGCATTACCGTTGCGGGAAGGGGGGTGGGGGGGGGTTGGATTTCAAGCATTGCGCTTCGCGCAAATGTGGCTCGAATACCTTGAGCCACAGCGTCCGCTGGACGCCAAAATCGAGGTGATCTGGATCTGGGGACCAACGGGCGCCGGAAAAACACGTGAAGTGTTCCTAGACAACCCAGTCGGGTGGGGGAGGGGGTGCGATTCCCCCGGTGACAGCGAGGGGTCAGGAATGGCCAACACCTGGGGCTTACGGAGGGGTATAGACATACTATCAGGGGCATGGGGTTATCCTTCGACTAGAAGGAGCAAGAGGAAGACGACGGCGGAGGAGTGGGATTACGAGGAGGGGGAGGAGGATGACAAGGAGGTGAAGAGCCTAGAAGGCTTCTAGGTCCTTCTCGTCGTCCTCCTCATCATCCCCCTCCTCCTCCTCCTGCTGCACCTCCTCCTCCTCCTCCTCCGCCTCCTCCGCCCTCCTCCTCCTCCTCTTCCTCCTCCTCCGCCTCCTCCTCCTCCTCCTCCTGCTCCTCCTCCTCCTCCTCCTCCTCCTCCTCCTCCTCCTCCTCCTCCTCCCCTCTGCTCTGCTCCACGTCAGAGGCGAACCCCCGAGGCCCGAAAGTGCTCTATCGACGCTCCTTCTCCTCATCCTCCTTCTCCTTCTGGGAGCTCCTCCTCGTCCTGCTCCTCTTCCTCCTCCTCCTCCTCCTCCTCCTCCGCCTCATGTTCCTTCCTCTCCTGGGACCTCCGAAGATCTCCCCCCCTCCTCGCCCCCAGCAAAGGCGGTGGAGCCTCCCGGTGGTGCGAGGCCCCGGGGTCCTCCGCCTCCCTCTTGCCCCTGCTGGTGGCCTGTCTTTTTTTGGGGGGGGGACGAGCCGAGGCAGCGGGAGGGTGATGCTGCTGGTGCTGGTGCTGCTGGGGAGAGGAGGATGAAGCTGAGGAAGAAGCTGATGAGCCGAGGAGGAAGGAGGATGAACAAGAGGAAGAAGCTGAGGAAGGAGGAGGCGGAAGAGGAGGAGGACCAGGAGGAGGGTCGTCATCGTCGTCGTCGCCGTCGTCGAGAATTATATAATGAAATCATACATGTTTTGGGTGCATGTTTGCCGTTTTGGGCATCTGAGGGGCACCCTCGTGGCCAAGGCTGGGTCGGCTTTGGAATCCTAGTCATGAAGTGCCCCGATGACTTTATCTTTGTAGTGTCTACTATATAGACGCATGTTAGGCAGCGTGGGCACCAACCAGTGTGTTTCTAGCAAAATATGTTGTGGAATCTGCGTTTTGAAGTCTATATGGTGCAATATATATATATATATATATATATATATATATTCATAGATATATAGATATATGGCGCAATATGTGTGCAATATGTGTTGTGCAGTCTATGCGGGGCAATTCATGCAGTGCAATCTCTATGTTGTCTAATATGTGTTATGCAAGATGTGTTGTCCAGTCTATGTTGTGCAATCTAGGTAGTGCGATAGATGAAGTGCAAACTATGTGGTGCCATGTTGTGCACCCTATGCGGTGCGCAATAGATGTTAGTTGTGCCATCTATGTGGGGCAATATGTGTGGTGCAATCCATGCTGTGCAATTTTTGTGGTGCAGTCCATGTGGTGCAATCTATGTTGTGCAATCTGTGTGGTGCGATCTATGCGGTGAATTCAGAATGGCGCAGTCCTTGTCGCGGAGACGGCGGCAACATAGCCGCCAGTCCAACAGACAGGCACAGACTACGGGCGGCAACATGGCGGTAACGGGGCGGCGACGGCGGCAACATAGCCGCCAGACCCTCAGACAAGCCCAGTACCTTAGAGGAGAAGTAAGAACCCCGAAGTGCACGCACTGCTTGGGGAACAAGGGGGCCGTCGTCGTCGCCGCCACGGCTTTGTCGGACGTTTGGACGAATCCGAATGTCTTCAAACAGTTTCGGACCGGAGGCTTTCGGCGATTACTGGACGCTTCCAAATATTTCTCTGAGTGAATAGGGAGGATGAGGGGAGGAGGATGACGACAAGTTAGGACATGGACGACCATGCGAAAGAGGAATCGGAGCGGAAGTAGGGAGGATGAGACGACGTGCGAGGATGAATAAGAGAAGGATGAGGAAGAGCAGGAGGAGAACTGCGGAGGATCATTGAGGAAGATGACGAAGGATGCCGACGACGGGAGAGGAGAAGGATGAGAACGAGGAAGAGGAGGGGCAAGAGTAGAACAAGGGAGGCGAGGCTAGGCTGCTGCGGCTGCGGGGACGACGATGCAGGAGGAGGAGGAGGAGGAGGAGGCGGAGGATGGCGGAGTGCACGATGGAGGAGGAGGAGGAGGGGAGGGAACATCAGAAGAAAAGCGGGATGACATGCAATAAGGGTAACGACTGCTGCAAATGCCACGACGACGACGGCGGGGGATGACAAATGGAGACAGAAGAACGCGGAATTACTCCCGCAACTGCCACGACGACGAGAACGACGGTGGCACGCACGGGGGGCAAACAAGACGAGGAGGATCGGGCCAGGAAGCAGGAGCAGGATGCCACATACCAAGAACGATTCCTGCTTGAGGAGGAGAGCGCGATCCCAGATTGTACAACAGCCGCGCGTGACTGTTAGCCTGGACACACACACAAAAAGGACTAACACATCGAAGCACAGGCCGGGAACGAGCGTCACCACGCATGCCATCGAACCCATCTGGAGAAATACCGCACGTTGGCGGCAAGAGGATTCGTGGGAACACGGGCAGCGTGTGCAACACATTCGGGACACGGATCGGGAGTACAGCAGTACCACCTCATAGGAGGAGGAGGAGGAGGAGGAGGAGGAGGAGGAGGAGGAGGAGGAAGAGGGAGGAGGAAGAGGGAGGAATGATGATGATGATGATGAGGAGGAGGATGATGATGATGATGAGGAGGAGGAGGAGGAGGAGGAGGAGGAGGAAGAGGAGGAGGAGGAGGAGGAGGAGGAGGAGGAGGAGCAACACAACTCATCGTGAGAGGAACACGCGTCCACACTCACGGCCTCGCGGCCCGAATTCGTGGGGGCCGCGACCCCCCGTGCCTGGCGCGTCACCCATCCATGGGATCGCGCCTCGGCGTCCCGCCTCGGGAGGCCAGGGATATGGACACCGCGGGCTCGTGTCGTGTTGACCCCGGCAATGGTCCCCGACACCGCGGGGATCGATCAACCTTGCGAAAAATCAGCCGTTTCCGAAACGCCAGATCGTTCAACATCGACCGATTCTGGGTCGCCGGTGGCGCTCAGCGTTCAACGCCAGCAGCGGGGTCGCCGCCGCTCGACACGACGCGAACCTACCGTATGTACTAGAACCAGGCGCGCGCTACGCCGGCTACGCTCAGGGGCGCGCAAACATGGATTAGCGATCCATGAATTTGGCGCGCGGTCGCCAAATCCATGGATCGGGGGAGGTGCCCTCCCCAAAATGCGGCTGGTGCCGCCTCGCTCGGCGGCGGAAGTCCACGATTTCCCATGGAAACGGGACCCGTCGCCAATACACGCCCCCTTGATCCATGTTTTGCGATCGCCTGATGTGCGCGCGCTTCGATTCTTGCCGGCTCCGACGACGTTGTCCATGGGCACTGCACGACGCCCTGGAGATCAGGAAGGAGGGCCCCAGGCGCGTGCCCGCTGTCCAGCGCAGGTGTGCAAGGCCTCCTTCAGGGGGTGGCTCCTGGCTCTGCGGGCAAACTTACTCGAAGACGGCCACACATAGGAAACCCACAAAAGACGTACGCGCCCAACTATGTACATGAACACGGCCCCTCCATCCGCGAGTCTGGCCGCGCTATACGAACATTTGTGCAATGCGTACTCTCGAAACCAGCTTGGATTCATGTACGTGTACGTCCTTCTTTCGCTCCTGAACAAGAAAGCCCCAAAACGAGAACCCCCACCTGACCCAAACCAGTCAAACACCCGAGGAACTCCCCAGGTTTTGGTCGGATCGATTGCGCTGGGATTCCCAGCTTTTGTGCAGAAGATTGTCCCAAGAGGGCATAGGAGGCGTTGACCATCACCACGGCGATCGTCGGCGTCCTCCTACAGCACTCCTCATCGGCACCAACACGTTCCTGCGTTTACTCCGATGACCGCTCCCGCTCTCGCCTCTCCTCCGCTTCCTCGTCCACCCTTGCCTCGACAGCACTGGCCATGCAAGAGGGACAAGGGGAAGGACGGCGGACCGGGAGGCGGCTCCCGAACAACTTCTCGCGCTGGTCCACCCTCTCCCGCGCGGCCATGGCGCCCAAGCCCGCCGCCGCCGTCGCGGCCAGGCGACCCGACAGAGAGACATGGAGACCTGAGGTCGCGGGTGGAGGGACGAGCGGGGCGAAGGTGATCCCTCTGCGGCGCCACCCCCGACATCCTCGTCGTGGTGGTCGTCGCAGTCGTCCAGGGTAGGCGGGGCATGAAGAGGAAAGGAACAAGTCCGCGGAGCTGCCCCGAGTTTGCATTTTGTCGGATTCGGCCTCGACAGAAGGCGGTGGTATGATTAGAGCTTCGCATGGCACTCGGGTCAATACTGGTTGATCGAAATCGAGCTACATAGAGCACAGGAGGCCACATCATCGAGTACAGAACCGCGAGCACGCGCAGACAAACCAGACTGGAGCACTAGAGAGAAGAAGCGGAGGCGTAGTGCAAGGAGCGATAGGGGGGACGAGGATAAAGAAGAGGACGAATGATGATAATGATGCTATCAGCACCAACAACAATAGTAGCCATACTAACAATAACGCTAATGGTACTCTCAATTATTATGATGATACTGCTGCTGCTGCTGATGATGATGATGGTGGTGATGTTGATAGTGATGCTCGAACTGATACCAACAACAATGCAAATAAAGGCCGGCGCAAGATCAATATAATCGTCGTGCTACCATGAAGAACGGTGAATAAAGAACAACATTGGCTTCTCTGGCTTCCACGGGCCTCGGCCATGGAAACGCTCCCCGACCCAGCATCCAAGAACGGCCCGACACCCAAAACCCTCCCGAACCCAAAGAGGTCCAAGACCGGCTTTTCCTGATCCCTCCACGAAGACATCGCACCACGCTCGAGCTCCGGGCCCGAGGACCATCAGAAAGACTGGGCAATCACAAGACTGCGAAAAAGGAGGAGGCGGAGGAGGAGGAGGAGGCGGAGGAGGAGGAGAGGAGAAGGAGGAGGAGGAGGAGGAGGAGGAGGAGGAGGAGGAGGAGGAGGAGGAGGAGGATGGGGGAGGGGGAGGGGAATTTTCAGCCCCCCGACGGTTGACGCGCAACATCCTGCACCTCCCGCGCCACGGGGGTGCCAGCGCGAATTTCAACGCCCCTCCCCGACGCCGATGCAATGTTTGTTGGCAAATCTCGCGGGATGCAAAATTTCGGCCAGTCGACAGATCGACACATCGCGGTGCACCCCGGCCAACATTTGGTTTGGGAGTGCGGGGGGTGCTCACAACAATCGGTATAAAAAGGTCAAAATTTTTGTCCATCAACCGCAGGAGACCCCAGAATCGAAGCGATCATCGGATCCGCGATCGAAATGAATCGGATCGTCAGAAGTCGGCAACGGAATCGGGAGAAATCGAATCGGCGGAAACCGGCAGTTTACACGTTTGGAAGTTCTTCTTCTGACGCCTCACCAAGGCCCCAGCAGAGCCCGAACACCAGATGGATGCTTCTGCGCCCACCCCCGTCCGCATCCGCGGGCGCACGGTCCAACGCACAACTGGGATGGGTCACATCTTCTTCGAACGGAACAATTCGTTAGCACACGTCGTGGTGGGCGTTTACGGGCCGAAATGATGACACGGTGTCATGAACACCCAGCGTGGTCCATGGCTAACACC